TCCAAGGAATGGCCAGTGGGTTTGAACCGCAAGCCTTCTGGTTAACAGTCAAGTGCCTTAGGCACTATGCTACCAGAGCTCCTACTGACTTGAAAAAAAATTTTTTTTTTAACTCAATACTCAGAGTTGACAAAGAAATGAACACACCAACCACTATTAATAGTGCCAACTGGTCTAAACCTGTTGGAAAGAAATTTGGCCTTTCACCCAGTTATAGTATTCTACTTCTGGGAATAACAAATACCTAAAGACACAAGGGCATGGACATCTATTACATCATTATTAGAAATAAACAGTGTTCAGTAATAGTGAAAGACTATATAAATTGCAATCATTAAGTAACATGTTTTGAAGACTATTTAATGCCATAAATAAATACTAACTAGAAAATTAAATGATAAAAGGAATCAGAGTTAAAGCTATTTAGTTTTATGGAAAAGGGGTACATGTGTGCACAAAAGTGTTTTCAGGGAATAAGACTAAAAAGAAACAAAGTGTCACTAGGTATGTCTGGCTCATAGAAACAAATCTGTGTTCCTTTCCTTGTTTTCCAAAGGTCTTGCAGAAACAGAAAAAGAGTTCTTAAAAATCCACCATAATGTATGACTCCTCATAGGCCCCAAGTCAAAACTGTGCTATGAAAACACCAAAATCCCTGTAATGGCATTTGCATAAAAGTTACCAACCTAGTTACTGGCATCATTTGAGTAGGCAGCTACCAGTATTCAAGTTCAGAAAGCAGATGAAATTGGAGAAGAAAAGCAAACACCCAATCAGAAAATGAAAAAGTGGTTTTTCTCCAGGAGGTGGGCCTTGTGTCCAGGTGGCTACTTCCAGCTGGGCTCATTTAAGCTTTCCTGCTTCCAGGGAGAGGGGTACACCAAGATAGCACCAAGGTGCTTCAGACTTTAAAATTCTTCCACTTACAAAAGGTAAACAAATATAGGAAAGCCATCATGGTCCACAACTGACTTCACAAAGTCATGCCCTTCTTTTGAAAGTATAATGTACTGCAATGACATGGCCATTGGGTAGAATAGCTTAAAGCAGTGAGCAGTTCTCAAACTTAAGAATCACCAGAACATTTGTTTAAACCCCCACCCCCAAGTGAATCTGTCCAGAGTAGTTAACGAGAATTCACATTTCTAACGAGTTCCCAGGTGTTGCTGGTTTGAACACCATGCCTTGAAAACAGCTGCCTTCTTAAAGCATGGTAAAAGATATTTCACATGCATCCTCGCCAACAGGTACAACTTTAAGAAGTTCCTTCCCTTGAGAAAACAGAAAGGCAGTATTTGCACAGGAAGATAGTTCAGGGGGCAGAAATGCAAAGGAAAGAAGGACACAGGGAAGAGAGATAACTACAGGGAAGAAGAGGGAAGAGAGCTGTTACACTGTGGGGATTGCAGTCAATGTCATGAAACAAAATATGAACTGCTGCATAGAAAATGAATTTGCTCTGTATACTTTCACCCAAATCACAATAAAAACTAAAATGAAATAAAAAAAAGAAGTTTCCCTGAGAAACTCCAGCCTATATAAGCAGATGTGTTGAAAACAGGCTTCCCCATGCATTTGTGTAGCACAAACAGTTAAGGGCTCAACTACGAGCCAGAAGTTGGCAGTTCGGAACCACCCAAAGGCATGCCTGGATATCAGCTTCCAAAAGGCCACAGCTTTGAAAACACTATGTTGTTGTTGTTAGGTGCCATCGAGTGGTCTCAGACTCATATTGACCACACAAATGAAACAGTGCCCGGTCCTGTGCCAGCCTCAGGATCCTTGCTATACCTGAGCCCATCACTGCAGCCACTGTGTCTATCCATCTCATTGAGGGCCTTCCCCTTCTTCCTTGACCAACCACTTTACCAAGCATGATATCCTTCTCCAGGGAATGGTTCCTCCTGACAATATAACCAAAGCAGGTGAGATGAAGTCTGGCCATTCTTGCTTCCAAGGAGCATTCTGGCTGCACTATGGTGCAGTTTCATTCTGCATTCATGGAGTAGCCACGAATCCAAGCTGACTCCACAGCAAGTAACACCACCACATGTGCAGGCAGAGCAGTAGTGGTTCTGTGGTAGAATTCCCACCTTCCATGTGGGAGACCAGGTTATATTCCCAGCCAGTGCACCACCACCACCCCTCAGTCAGCTGGAACTTACGGATTAGGAAGAAAGGACTGACAATTTATTTCTAAAAAAACAGCCAATGAAAACCCTATGGATCATAAATTTCCAATCAGCACCGCTCATGAGGACCGAGATCTGACAGCATTTCATCCTATTGTACATGGGGTTGCCATGAGACAGGGCCAACTCAAAAAACCAAACTCACTGCCATTGAGTTGATTCCAACTCATAGTGACCCCCACTGAGTTTCCAAAGCTGTAAATCTTTACAGAAGCAGACTGCCTCATCTTTCTTCCACGGACCCACTGGTGGGTAAGAACCACTGGCCTATTGGTTAGAAGCCTTAACTACTACATCACCAAAGCTCCTTCAGGGACAACCAGACAGCAGCTAATAACAAAAGCAACCCCTATGGAAGCAACACAGTGCAGCAGTTACAAACACAGGCTCTGGAGCCAGGTTGCCTGGCTTTGGATCCTGCTAGACCCCTTACTACTAGCTGTATAGTCCAAAGCAACTTACGTAACTTCTCAGCTTCAGTATCTTCCCATGTAAAATAGATACAACTTTTCCCCTCCAGCAGGAAAACCAGAAATGGGTGCCAGTCATCATTATTCTTCCCATTTCCTTCAACTATTCAGTTCTGCCCTGAATATCCACAAACAGAAAGTTTTCAGAAGTTTATCACCCTGCCTGAAGTTAAGGAAAACATCTTCTTACCTTCAAATTATTTATGGTAATCACACCCATATTCCTTCCTCTTCTGACCCCCTCTCTCCTCAAAAAAAGAGCCACCAATCAGGTCTGAAATTGAACCCACACCTGTGGCTTCCAGCCAAACAAAAGACAGGCATATGAGTTGAACATTTACCTGAGATAGATACACTCGTTGGAGAGAACAATCATGGGAGAAAGAAGGGCTTCTTATGCACAGGGAGAGAGCTCAGGGAGCAGGAGTGCATGGAGGGATGGACACAGGGAAGAGGTAACTATCAGGAGAAAATGGGAGGGGCGCTGGGGGAAAAAAAAAAAAAGGCAGGGATTTTTGTATGGCTTTTGTTTATTGCTTTATCCCATGTCTTGAATGTTGTCGTTGTTGTTACATGCCATCAAGTCGGACCGACTCATATCAACCCCTCTTTGGGTTTCCGAGGCAGTATCACTATGGAAGTAGATTGCCCCATAGCTCCTGTGATAGTGGTTGGTATACAGTGGACACCTGATAAATATTTGTTTAATGACTACATAAATGAATAACAAGGTATGAAATCACTGAAGACAGATGCACACATTAGTGGCTAGAGAGTACTAGGTCTTTAGTACATATGTATGATCTTTAATGCCATGGAATCATATAATTATTGAATAAGACAATTCCCCTTTTCATTGTGTTATCACCAACATGTTATTTTAGCAATGATTTATACTTATTGTTGATAATAAAAATAGAAGTAAAAAAAAAAGGGGGGACCATCAAACAGTATTCAGGTGTTCCTGAATACTGAATAAACTACAATTAAAGCAAGAGTAGGTGCACTCATCCCCTTGGCATCTCCTGGGTGTTCCCATTGGGGAGAAAAAAAAACAACTACTACTCGTCAAAATATGCAGAAAAGATGAAAGAGTAGAGATAAAGAGAGAAAAAAAAAAAAGGTCTAATTATCAACCAACTGGGATTAAAACCCAAAGGCTCACCCCCACCTAGTTAATCTTCACATTTACTGGCTAGAACCCCAGTTAAGATGCTTCACCACTTTGAATACAAAAGATGGAGCGGGGCTAGATGCCCTCCCAGCTCAGTGACCATTCAGTGGTTTTAGGATCACAGGATTCCTTGTCAGAATCACCTGAACGAAGGCCACAGATGGCTTCTCTGAGAGGTACAGATCCCCGACTAAGACCTCTTTCCACAAAGGCTCATGGGCTCCATCCCCAGAGTAGTCCTCACAGGTGTTAGTGAAGATACTAGCAATATGAAAAGACACTCCAGTATTGCCTACTGTGTCACAGCCAAAAGCAAAAAGTAGAAAACAGTGTTCAAGAGTTTAAAATGTTATTCTATCCGCATGAACTTTGCCACAACATACAATAACATACCACGGTACATACACGGGCAAAAAGGGAAAGCCACACTGTCACAGACATAAACACAGCATGAGCTCCGTGGAGTTGTAATGCAACTGTCACGTAATGAACATCAGAAGGGGTAGGGACTCTATTACGAGATGACTCTGGTCCATGGCACTAATTAGGCTTTCAATCAGATTAGAAAAAGAAAGCTGTTTATAAACTGCTTATTTACAAACACGGGAAAAGAAGTGCAGTTTTCGTTCAGGGGATCTGAGAATCCCTGAGTGATACGTGGGAAGCCAGCTAAATCCGTTCTCCCAAGGGAAGTGAGTCCACCTTTAAGCAGTCCCAGTTCTCCGCCTCCAGCCCCTCTCGCCCAGCACTGGAGGCAGACGAGCAGCAAGGTGCCTCAACAAAGAGAAAGATCCACACGTGCCCCGCGCACCCAGATCCCCGCAACCACCGGCCCCGCGCGTGGGGATGCAAGCAGGCAGCACGCGGCGGTCCGCGAAGGCCCACGCGGCGGCCTCGCCGTGGCAGGAAGCCTCAACGTGGATCGATGCGCTAAGGCGGAAACCGCTTCCTTCCCGACCTCGGCCACCCAACCCCAAAAGGCACCGGCGGCATCTGGCACGAGCCCGGGAAAGGAGCTTCCGCGGCGGGGATGGCTGCGGCCAAGCGAGGAGAGGACTGAGGAGTGGTGGAGGGTGGGGTGGATCGCGCCCTCGGGACCAGCGGCGGGAGAGTGAACCAGTGCTGGCGGAGGCGCGACGGGGTAGCGGTGTGTGGGTTGCTCACCAGAAGAACACGCGCGAGCATAGGTTCGCGTCCTGCAGCGGATTAGGCTTCACCTCCGGGTACACCGGCAACATTTCGGCAGCCTGGGAAGGTCGCGGGCCGGGGTCACGCTGCTCAGGCGGCAGTTGCCGCTGCCGGTGCTCCAGGAGACACCGGCGGGGATGCTGGGACACTGGACGCCGCTCGGTCCCCTCTGTAAGAGCCCTAAAACACCCGCTTCCGGAAGCCAGGCGCCGGCGGCACGCCCTGTCCCCGCCTCTCGGGGCGGCTTGGGGGCTGTTGGTAGCTTGCTGCTGCCGCCTCGGACCTGGGGGTGGTGAGATACGTTCCAGCGCGGCCGCGGGCTGCGGGGTGACGCGGCGGGAAGGGATAGCTGTACGAAAGTGCGGGGGTGGAAATTCGAGGGTGCAGCCCTGGGGTCCGCGCGCAGGTGGAAGGCTAGAAGGAGAGAACCGGCGCCGCTAGATGGTGGAGGTTAGGCGAACATCCCGGGGTGAACCCCGAGCCAACCCTTGGAGGCCTGGCACCGCCGAGGAACCCACGCGTTGGGGCCTGACTGCAAACTGCAAAAGTTAAAGATCAGAGCCAAGGCACCGACAAAGAAGGTAGCGAGGTTCTTTCTTCTTAGAAACGCCCTCTCGGTTCTCAGAGAAAGCTGGCAAGCAACTTTAACAGTCCGCCCCCCCCCCCCAGGGCACATTGCCCTCTTCGGGACCAAACAAAGGTGCTTGTGGGAGGTTCCCCAAATCTGCCACCAAACATTTGACCTCGGATAACAGTAGGGTTTAGCACAGATTATCTTTGTAGAGCAGCAAGACCCAAAAGAAATGCAAGTAATTTAAGATTTGTCGTTGTTAAGTACCCTTGAGTTTATTACAATACCTCAAATGATTTTAGGAAATGAATAAATGTTGTCATTTGGGGTGGGCTTTTGTCATCTCACATGCATTGTAGAGTGGACTTCTTTGACATTTTTGCTGCCGTCTTCGTTTGAGAAATGGAGGATGTAAGAAAGAGACTGTCTTAGAATTTCTGTCATCTGACCAGCCTAGAGTAATAGTGGAAAAAAAGAACATATGTTATAGAATATCAGTAATGTATATTTCTGTATATCTTACCTCATTTTTAGCTAACAAAGCCCTATTGGAGAAGGAATTACTATCCCTATTTAACAGATGGGGTCGCTATGAGTCGGGGCCGACTCAACAGCACATAACAACAACAACAACAACATTTAACAGATGAGGAAAGTGAGGCTGAAAGAGAAAAACTATTCAAGTCTAAAAAAAAGTGGTTGAGTTTGGACTCAAGAGGATCCCATGTGCATCTTAAAAGCTTGCAAGCAGCCATCTAGATGCAACTATGGGTCTCTCCTCGTCCACAGCAAATAAAAATGAAGGAAACCAAAGATGCATGGAAACAATTAGTCCAAGCTACTTGTACACCATGCGATTCTCAGCCTGTGTGAGACCAGACGAACTAGATGGTGCCAAGCTACCACTGTCAACCATTGGGAGGGGGAATCTATGTAGGAGATCCCAGAGATAGTGGGAGAACAATGTGGAACAAAACTCAAAATCATTTAAAAAAAAAAAAAGGGACCAAGTTTGCTGGTCTGATAGAGCCTGATGAAACCACTGAAACTATGGCCCCTAGCTGTCCTTCAGGTCTGGAATTGAACCCACATCTGTGGCTTCCAGCCAAACGAAAGACGGGCATAAGAGCTGAACATTTACATTAGGTAGATACACTCCTTGGAGAGATCAATCATGGAAAATAGAAGGGCTGTGTATGCACAGGGAGACTGCTATGGGTCAGGAGTGCATAGGAGGGAAGGACTCTTGGGAAGAGGTAACTATGGGGAGGAAATGGGAGGGGGACCTGTTGGCATTGTGAGAAATTGTAGTTAATGTCATGAGACAGTGTATGTGAGCTGCTGTATGGAAAATGAATTTTCTCTGTAAACTTTCACCCAAATCACAATAAAAATTAAAAAAAAGAAAGAAGAAGAAGGATCCCATGAGTTATAGAGTGGAACTGCTCCACAGAGTTTTCTTGGCTGTGATCTTTGTAGAAGCATATCACTGGCCTTTTTTCTGAGGCACCACTGAGTAGTTCCAACTCCAACCTTTCTTGTTAATTAATAGTTGAGGGTAAACCATTTGTGCCACCCAAGAACCTTCAAAGATCTTGTTGTTATATGCCATCGAGTCAGACACAACTCATAACGACCCCTCCTTGGGTTTCTGAGGCAGTATCACTATGGAAGTAGATTGCCCAACCTTCCTTCCAAGGAGTGGCTGGTGGATTTGAACTTGCCAGCCTTCTGGTTAGCAGTCAAGTGCCTTAGGCACTACACCACCAGAGCTCCTTAAGAGTTACTAAATGATGAAACCCCATTTGGATTCTGCATCTGAGCAAGGTCAGCCCCACTGGTGGATGATCAATGTGGGTGAAAAGTGCTCAGAATACACTGGTTGGATGAATGATTATAGACATGAGTAACAAAACCCTATCCCAACTTTTGAATACTCATAACTCAAGTCTTCATTTCAGTTATTTGTGTAGCCACATTCTCTTCCTTTTAGCTCTGAATAAAGAAACATCACAGGTTACAAGTTCATGGTGCTTGAACCAAGATTATTATTATTCAAAAAATTTCCATATACCTCTATTAAAGTAATTTTATTAATGACAGCTTTTAAAGAAAGCCATACTGTATGCAAACATTTTTTAAAAATCAGTTCTATCAAATATTGTATTAGTCCGTTATTGTAAAAATCAAGGAAAGGTTTTATCTATGGAAGGACATTTTCTTTGTTGGTTTCCAGGGGTGGGAGGGGAGGGGAGGGAACACTGTTAGATAAGTCAAGATAAGTACTGATTTGGGTGAAGAGAAGGGCAATGAACAAAATGTGAGTGATCAACATGGTGGCAATGAGAAAGAGGAAGACATAGAAGGTTCAAGGCAGGCACAGACAACAAAGATGAACCCTCTTGCACATACAGTAGTTTGTTGTCAGTGAAGGCAAATATATGGGTATATGGGTGGATAGATGTTGGACAGGCTGAACTATTAGGTATGTCTATGAAGTGGGGAGTGTACCCAAGACCATGTATAGGGTTGGCAGACAATGGTCCTATAAGTGTATTTGTATGATCTAAATTCCCAGGTGTATAGTAGAGCTGGGACAAGGTTGTAGTCACTTCTTGGGCACAGCCAGCTATCCAGAGGGACTGAATAGTTGAACCTGGGGGCTCAGGACCATAGTCACAGAGGACATCAAGCTCAACTGGCATAACATACTACACAAAACATTGTTCCACCTCCTACTTTGGCAAATAGCAACTGGGATCTTAAAAGCTTGCAAGCAGCCATCTAGATGCAATGATGGGTCTCTCCTCATCCAGAGCAAAGAAGAATGAAGAAAACCAAAGATTCATGGAAGCAATTAGTCCTAGCAACTGATACATCATGCGATCCACAACCTATACGACTATGAGACCAGAAGAACTAGATGGTGCTCGGCTACCAATGTCAACCACTCGGAGGGGGATCTATGCAGGAGATCCTAGATAGAGAGGGAGAACAATGTGGAACAAAACTCAAAATCATTTGGGAAAAAAAAGGGAGACCAGGTTTGCTGGTCTGAAAGAGCCTGGTGGAACCACTGAGACTATGGCCCCTGGCTGCCCTTCAGGTCTGGAATTGAACCCACACCTGTGGTTTCCAGCCAAACAAAAGACATGCATAGGAGTTGAACATTTACCTGAGGTAAGTACACTCCTTGGAGAGAACAATCATGGGAGAAAGAAGGGCTGTTTATGCACAGGGAGAGAGCTCAGGGGGCAGGAGTGCATGGAGGGATGGACACAGAGAAGAGGTGACTGTTGGGAGGAAGTGGGAGGGGAGCTGTTGCATTGTGGTGAATTTTGGTCAATGTCATGAGACAAAGTGTATGTGAACTGCTGTATGGAAAGTGAATTTGCTCTGTAAATTTTCACCCAAATCACAATTAAAAAAAAAAAAAATGCTAAGCCAAAAAAAAAAAGTCCTATAAGAATAAAAATGTTGATAATTTTTGAAGCAGATGATAGGTGATGAGGGTTTATTGTGCTATTTTCTTCATATTTTATGTACATTTGAGATTTTTCATCATAAAAGGAAGACAATTGCGGAATAGTATACAAAAGGAGTCCCTGTGTTCAAATGGTAAACACACTAAGGTTGGCATTTCAAGTCCAGAGGTGCCTGGGAAGAAAGGCCCAGGGATCTACTTCAGAAAAATCAGGCCTTGGAAACCTTTGGAGCACAGTTCTGCCCTGACACATATGGGGTCAACTGTGAGTCAAAATCAATCCCACAGCAACTGGTCTGTGAAAAAAATACTGTGTTGTCTATCATTCTGTGTTACCTCTTTCTCAGATAAGGCAATCTGTAAACCAAGAGTCAGCCCTTCCCCAATTTACAGTTCTCTTTGAAACTCCCTGCATATTCGAGCCTTGTAACTCCAACTATCAGTTCTTCTTCAAAGCTGAAGAATCTGTTTGCTACATAGAAGTCTAAAGACTTCCCTTGTCAGACTGTGTCAGCTTCCTCTCTACTCCCACAGCTCTCTCAAAGCCATAGCACTCTCCAAATTGAGTGTTTTACTCAATCCCTTTGGCTTCTGCTGAGTCTTTTTTTATAAAAAACTAAGTTGTTTTTTAAGTTCTTAACATTCTTCACTGAACCTGAACTAATGTGGTATTTCGAGGCAATTCTGAGAACTCTAGCTATGAAGTCAGGGGAAAGGGTTCTAGACTTTTCACTTTGTACCTAGCCTTTTTGACTCTTTCTCCAGTCTAAAAGGGGAATAAAAACTCCCACTCACCCTACTTCACAGGGTTATTGTGAACCTCACAATTTGTGAATGTGTTTTGTAAAACTTAAGACAATATATAAGGAGCCTTGGTGGCACAGTCTTTAAGCACCAAACTGGTAGCCAAAAGGTCTGCGGTTCAAGTTCACCAACCGCTTCGTGGAAGCAAGATGTAGCAAACAGTCTACTTCTGTAAAGATTATAGCCTTGGA